CCAACCAGCTCGGGATGCTGACAATCCAATGTGCCAATTGGACAGAATTTGGCACAGTATCCCTCAGGTGGACATCTGCAACCTCTATCAACTGATGCCAAGCCGAATAACTGCTTGCATAAGGACCAGAGGTGGACAAACACATTACTGACTTTTTCACTTTGTGAAGCTCTATCACTTCAATAAATCATCCAATTTTTCTCAAAATGTAATCATTTGTTTTCTTGTACATGTACATCACTTCTACCGATTTTTGTCCCATTCGGATAACTCCTTCTTGGTGCGTCTGTTTTTGTCTAAGAGTGTACTTTCATTGGATTCAAGCAAAATGTGCACTACAAAACATTAAATCTATTCTAAACGTTAGGATAACTTATCACAAAACAAATGCAAGTTTTAAATGTTATGTAGATGAAGACTGGGCCAAAAATACTCTGTACAGGAAATCCATTAGTGGCTATGATTTCCTCTTAGCAGGAAGCCCGATTTCCTGGGAATAATGCAAGCAAATTGTAGCACTATCAAGCACTAAAGCAGAATACATAGTGTTAATTGAAGCTTCAAAAGAAGCAATGAACTTGTGTTTGCTATTAAGAGAGCTAGGCAACTTTCTTGTACAGTGACAAAGTGTACAACATTTAGTGAAAGACCCACTTCATCATTCACAAAACACACTGATACTCATTTTCATTACCATATAAGAGAGTTGTATGACAATAAGGAAATTGACATTAAGTATGAGTCAACAGCAGAAATACCAGCTGATATTTTAACTAAGAATCTTGGCAGAGACAAGCATAGAAAATATATGAATCTATTAGAACCTGAAGTTTAACTAATGAATATTTTTTTAAATTCAGTTTTCAGCTCAACAAGGGAGAGTGTTGCTAATTTATATTTTCTGCTTTGCGGTTGAGCTGAGCAGAAGAAAGTATATAATCCCGCAGTAAAAATTTCTCAATATGTGGTGAAGACTGTGTATCCTTCCAATACCACGAAGACTTTGCATCCTCCAGGTGTGCTTTTGTGTCTACAGCAAAAATGCCAGCCGATATTTTAACCAAGAATCTTGGCAGAGACAAGCATAGAAAATATATGAATCTATTAGGACCTGAACTTTAATGAATATTTTTTTTAAAAATTCTTTTTTTCAGCTCCACGAGGGAGAAGGTCACTAATTTATATCTTCTTCAGGGTTCGTAGCCACATTTTAGTTAAAAAAAATGAGCACCTATAAGCACTTTTCAAGCACATTTTAAGAAAAAAATAAGCACCTGTCATTATACACAACTGCATAACCTTAAAAGAAAAATTAGACTTGCAATTTAAAATATGAGCAATGCAATATTTATTAAGAGAATGAGCATTACCTCAACCATGGAAAACAATTAACTTTTTTTTTTTTTTTAAATTTTAAATGACAGTTCAATTTACAGAATTAGTTTATAGTTTATAGTTTCAGCAAAGTCGTCGAATTTTTCTCCTATTGAGCATGTTTGGAGCATTATAGGCAGGGCCCTCCAACCAGCTCGGGATGCTGACAATCCAATGTGCCAATTGGACAGAATTTGGCACAGTATCCCTCAGGTGGACATCTGCAACCTCTATCAACTGATGCCAAGCCGAATAACTGCTTGCATAAGGACCAGAGGTGGACAAACACATTACTGACTTTTTCACTTTGTGAAGCTCTATCACTTCAATAAATCATCCAATTTTTCTCAAAATGTAATCATTTGTTTTCTTGTACATGTACATCACTTCTACCGATTTTACAATTGGACAGAATTTGGCACAGTATCCCTCAGGTGGACATCTGCAACCTCTATCAACTGATGCCAAGCCGAATAACTGCTTGCATGACAAGCATGAAAATATATGAATCTATTAGGACCTGAACTTTAATGAATATTTTTTTAAAAATTCTGTTTTTTCAGCTCTACGAGGGAGAAGGTCACTAATTTTATCTTCTTCAGGGTTCGTAGCCACATTTTAGTTAAAAAAAATGAGCGCACCTATAAGCAATTTTCAAGCACATTTTAAGAAAAAAATAAGCACTGTCATTATACACAACTGCATAACCTTAAAAGAAAAATTAGACTTGCAATTTAAAATATGAGCAATGCAATATTTATTAAGAAATGAGCATTACCTCAACCATGGAAAACAATTAACTTTTTTTTTTTTTAAATTTTAAATGACAGTTCAATTTACAGAATTAGTTATAGTTTATAGTTCAGCAAAGTCGTCGAATTTTTCTCCTATGAGCATGTTTGGAGCATTATAGGCTTACGTTCCATATAAGAAGAAAAGGTTTTAGTTTCGGCTTTGGTACCAGGGGGATTTGTGTGTTCATTAAAAAAAAAACTAAAAGAAAAAATAAGCACTAAAAAAAAATAACAAGGGCTTTAAAGAAAAGTAAGCACCTAATTTATATATTTTCAAATATAAGGACTTATAAGCACTTGTAAGGACCGCTTTGTTCCCTTTGCAGCTGAAACTATAAACGTGAAATAGTCTGACATGAGAGAGAAAAAAAACTATGCAGAATAAACTATATTACAATCTAATGATGAAATTTCAGTTCAAAATATAAGAGTTGTATTCGATTGGTACCTAATAATAAATACAATTTATTTTTCCGCTCATAATAATATTTAAATAATTTAACTTAAATCAAAATTCTGAACATTTTCTAAATTTTCATTGCATGTAATTTTCCCTTAACATATATTCCAAGCAAAGTAATTTAAGTAAAAATGAGGAACATTTCTGAAATCAGGAGATGGGAAATTGCTTCATGCAGTCATCCTTTAACAGTAAAAGCTTAACTAACCCGCATACTCGGAAACTGCCGAATATTCCTTATAGTTGAGCATAACTGGAAAAAGAGGAGAGGGGGATTGTAGCCGTTCTTTAGATTTCTCGGCTAAATAAATGATTTTGACATTTCAATATGTGCATCATATAAAAATAGACCAACGGAACTGAGAAATATTCTGCTTAGAAAGCACAGTAAAACTCTTAAGTGTTCATAAATAAATCTCAGACTGAACATCAAAATTAATTATCTCTGCAAAATACCGCAAACGTTATTGCGCAATACGCGGGGCGTATTTCTTCCATACGTTTACACAATCGGAATCAGCAGCTACCGGTATTCGAAGAATAAAGAACTAAATACAGGAAAAGAAAGAGACTTACTAATCTGGGGGTGTTTTTGATTCTAATTTTGAAAAGACTGCATTAAATTTCCGGAATAGAATCATTCTTCGCTTGGGTTAGATAGACCGCAAAACTTTTAGTACTATTCAATCCAGATTGGACAATGACAAAAAAAAAAAAAAAAAAAAAAAAAAAAAAAGAAGTCCGCTGCTTCAATATTAGAGATTTTGCGGAGAAAAGGGTGAACCTCCCAACCTCCGTACTGTATAATGTATTGGGGGAAAAAAAAAAAATTGACTATTCGATTACTTTTCTTTTATTTAAGCCATTCCGAATATTATTCCTTAGAAAGCTAATCTGTGTAAAAGTACAACCATTTTTGGAAGTTTATCTACACTTCAGCAGAACTGCAACTATATTATTATAAATATTCATACATATGCTCATAATATAAGCATAACGATCATACTAAATACGAATATGAACTGACCACGCGGAACGAGAATGCAAATTATTAAAATCTTGATAAAAATCCAAACATGTGTAGTATTTGGGTGGGAGGAAAAGAATACCGAATGTACCAGACTTTTCTACGGTTTTCGCAATTCTTTGACCAATAGAACGACGTGCACCTGTCTGTACTCTGGCACGCAACATAGGTTACGTTAATGCAGAGAAAGGGGAAAAGCTATTTCCGGAAGTATGATTCACCATCTGACGTTCCATATAAAGAAGAAAAGTTGTTTATTTAGTTTCGGCTTTGGTACCAGGGGGATGTGTGTTCATTAAAAAAAGCACTAAAAGCAAAAAATAAGCACTAAAAACAAAATAATAAGGGCTTTAAAGAAAAAGTAAGCACCTATAAGGGCCTTTATATTTTTATTTTCAAATATAAGGACTTATAAGCACTTGTAAGGACCGCTACGAACCCTGTTCTCCTTTGCAGCTACGCCAAGCAGAAGAAAGTAAAGTATATAATCCTGCAGTAGAAACCTCCCGATGTGTGGTGAAGAGTGTGTATCCTTCCGATGTGGTGAAGACTTTGTGTCCTCCAAGTGTGCCTAACAGGCATGAAACATTCCAGCATGGTATTGTGATTTGAAGGCATGGAAACCTGCTGTGGAATATAGCTATGGAAGACTAGATTGTAACCTAGCACAGTATCCTGGATAATTTATTACACTGCCAAGTGCCTGCCAGATGGAATGAGCTGTCAATTAGACTCATCTCATATAGTACCAGTCAAGTACATTCAGTATACATCATATGGTTTATTCATCATATGGTTTTACTAACGTGAAATAGTCTGACATGATATGTTCATATACTTTGTTAAACTCAAGAAAATCCATTAACCCATTAAATCTTATGTTTTCAACTTACAGCAAGTGTACTTACTTTGATAGAGATCCACGTTTTATACTACTGTATATCACTCTCAAGAACCTCCAAAAATTCAAAACAACAAATTTTAAAGTTTATTAATGCATTTTGTCAATTAAAACTTTGTAATAGTTTGAATAGCATTTCTAAAATTATTTCTCAAAGTAAGCATTTTTTTTATACATTTTCATGTTAAGTACAGAAAAAAGATTGTTAAATGCTAATTTTAATGTATATGATAGCTTAAGTAATAATCTAAAATGGTATCGAAAATTATAACAATAGGACAAACTTTTTTTGTGATTTGTTTTCTAATAGTGATGCAAAATCCCAGTCCTGTGGGATGATTCTTTTTTATTTCCCATCCTCCCCGAAGGAAAGCCTTAAACAAAATCGCAGCATCTCGAAAGGAGACTAAAATTTGTGCAGCAGTGAAAATGGATAGCACATACTTATGGTCAGCAATAATATCTGAAGGCGATGACTTCCACAGAGTTCCCAGACTTGTTGTTGAAAGAGTAGATTCCGACACCTCCATAGCCATAATCAAAAACTTATCTGTTGGTTGTGGATGGAAGCCTGGCAGGATGTTTAAAAAAATTGAAAATTTGATTATCCAAAATATATATAATATTTAAAAGATGAATTTTCATATTGTGATAATTAACTTCTAGCTAACAAGGATAAAAATCATTCATTTTCAAACTGAAGTATGTCTTACTTTCACAAACACTATTGCAGTTTGCTTGAATGTGATGAAAATTAATAAGAATGCAAAAATTACAGAATAAGATGAAACTTAACAGTTTATATTTCTATACTGTGCATTGTAATTTCAAAATCACATATCCATACATTTCTATACCTCAATTTATTATTTTAATATAAATTTATGATTTATTTTTATATATTTATCAAACTTCATTGTCATTATTCTATCATAATTTGTAATTATATTCCACTGTTCTATAGTTTTATTATGTTTACACATTTATTGTAAAATAATTAGATGCGTGTATAGTTATGTTGTTAGATGAATGATAACTCAAACATTTAATGCACAGCTCAGAGCAACAAAGATTTTAAAAAAATTGCTAGTAATCATTGTTCAAGTTCAAACGTGGATGAAAAAGCAATCAAAAGGATACTCTCATTCTTATAAATATTACTGACTATAAATATATCTCATGCAAAAAATTCAAAAGGAGTATTAAAGATGTTCCATAAATAAAAAAATCCAAGAGCAGCATTAAAGATGTTCCATAAATAAAAAATCCAAGAGCGGTATTAAAGATGTTCCATAAATAAAATATTCAAAATGCAGTACAATACACCTATGTCTTCAAATGCTAATCACTTTATAAACTTCCCTGCTAAATATATTGCATATGCCTATATAAATAACATACTGTATGATCCATTGTTAAAAGTCTGTTTCTTAACAAAATATTTTTTAATTTAGAATAAATATTTCATATTCCAAAAGCCATATTTAGCAATCACAAGGTTTGTGATTTTTTTCCAGTGAAAGGAAATTAAATATATACAGGTTTAATATCGATAAACAAAAAAGATATGATATATTTTGGAAAATTTTACATATATTTATATTTAAAAACAAGTTTATTCATGTAAAATTACATTCTATATTCATACCTCAATACAAAATCAATCACTGGTTCAAAGACACAGGGGCTAATATTAAAATAAAATAACATTACAATGATTATTTCAAAACTAAAGCTGTATTACCTGGAAGAAGCACAACATTGATTTCAATAGTGCTGCCAGCTTCAATGATTCCTATAGAGGGTTTCACTCTATAACTTTCAATATTGTTTGTTTTGACCTGAAAATAAAAATTTTGAAATGTCAATTAGATACATGATTTTTATTAATGAAATGCATTTCATAAATATATAATGCTACAGCCTGATCACAGTTAATGTTATCGTTGGGTATTGTTATCAAAGTGCTGAAGTCCTGCCTGAAGTATACAAAAACATTGAAAATACATCACTTACTGCAATCAATAAGTTGGTTACAGTTATCAAAATATTACAGAATGAATTATTTTACACTTAAGTAATACAGTGGAAGTCCAGACATCCGCAAAGCTTGGGAGCAGAGGTTATGCGGATTTTAGGATTTCAAGACAGAAAAGATAAAGTATAATATTCAGACTAAAAGTGCAAAATAAATAAGGCATATTAGATACATTTAATTAAATTATTATATACATTATTATAATAATTTATTATACGCATTAAATTATTATTACATATATAAATTGATTATATTATTTATTGTATTATGTGTACACAGCATCGAGGTTTGCCGATTTCGCCTTGTGCAAAGATTTCCGGTTTCGGATTCCTGTGTTAGAATCACTGTTGCTGTAAAATTTCAACAGCTTTTCTCTATTTTTTCGTATATCATACAGAATCGTGTTGCAATTCTATATGATTCTGCTATAAACCGAGGAGTAGCAATTGCTTCCATCTTTTGCAGAATTTGCACTTTTTGCATTACTGTCAATGTAACGTGTTTACATTTTTTAACATTGCAAGCAGTAAAATCATGAGTGCGTTTCTTATCTGTCATTGTATTAAAAAGTGTTGAAATTAAAAATATTCTTAATTTATCGACAAAATATCTGGATAAGAAAAAAAGACAGCACTACACAGTCTCATGAAATAACAAAGAAAATACAACAACGTGAATAGTGAACTTGAAAGAAGTGTTGAGTGAATCGTCTGCTTTTTTACCTCTATGCAGATTAGAGGGAAAAAAATGTTATTGTGATGTCAATAATTTGGTATTTCCATTATAACTCATTATTATTTGGTAATTGTGATGTCATTATTCGGTAAGTATTTTTTCTTCGATATTTCATACTCAATGTTGCGGTTTCCGGAACCTATAAACTGGATGTTTATATTTTGAGAAGCAATACGGATTTCAGGTCGGTGGATTTTAGGTATTTGACTGTACTGCCAAATAAGATGAAAACAGATATAGGATTTGCCAAGCAGCTTCATTTTGGCTAAAGGCAACCTTGTATAAAAGTACCCATTTTCAAAGTTTTAGGAAGATCAACTGGATTCCCCAGAATTAGCAAATAATGAAGCAATCTTCTAGATGACCTTGCTTTTAAGCAACAAAATACCTTTTCAGTTGTTTTAAGAATTTTTATGAATATTCTGTTCCAAGAAACACTCATTTTTTATTTTGTTCAGGCATTTTTATAATGAAGTCTAGCTAAGTGTATAATGACCCAAGTCTAAGCATCAAATCGACATATTGAACTGTTCCAACCTACTCCCAAAACTGATTCAGCGGAATGCTGCTCTTAAGTTAAATATTTCTTAATCCCTCTTAGGGAAGATTTTGAAGAATCATGAAGATATTATTCGCAAATCAAAGAAAAACCGAAATGAAAACATGAAAGAGATGTATAGTGGGAAAGATCACAGTACTCAGAAAGCATTAAAGATCTAGTTTTACAAATATTCCTTGAAGAGATATGGCAGCATCATTTGGTTTAAAAAAGTCAACGGATTATGATCCATTTGGATCTTGAATTTTTGTCCATCTAAGTAATAATTCAGTTTCTTCAATCCATAAATAATAGCCGCTAGTTGTCTTTCAATGGTGCTATAATTTCGCTCCGCTTTAGTAAACTTTTTGCTAAGATACAGTATAGGTTATTCCTCCCCATCCTGAATTAATACCTGCACCATATAAGCAGGCATCTATCTGCACAATAAATTCTTTAGAATAGTCTGGTGCAAATAAAACTGGACTTTTTACTAGTTTAATCTTCGGTTTATTGAAAACCTCGTCGCACTCTTTTGTCCAAATTACTTTTTCTTTTTTCCCTTCAAAGCGTCTGTCAGAGGTGCCGCAATACATGAGTCTTATGTACCTTGCATAGTAGCCCACAGTACAAAAGTAGCTATGTATCTGTGTTTTTAGTAATGGGGATCGGGAAATCTGATTGCTTGAAGCTTGGCCTAACTAGGCGACCTTTTCCCAGATTCTACTTCATGACCCAGAAATTTCACATGGTTTTGGGCGAATTTGCATTTCGATGACTTAACAGTCAATTTAGCCTCCTGAAGGGAACCTAAAACCACATCCAAATCCTTCATATGCCTGTCCCAAGTAGGCAAAAAGGCTGTGATGTCATCAATATACGGTAGAACAAAATTGTCCAGCCCTCCTAAAACTGGGGCGATCAATTTACAAAAATAGAAAGGCGCATTTAAAAGCCCAAACATCATTTTCTTTGGAATGAAAGATGCAAAAGGCATCACAAATGCAGCATACCTCTGTGAGTGGTATCTGGAAGTAGTCTTTGGTTAGATCCATGATTGTGATAAATGGAAGTGCACTGACTTTTTCTACCACTTCTTCCATACTGGGAAGAGGGAAAAATTCGGTCATAGTTTTTGAATTTAATTTTCTGTAGTCTATACAAGGACGAGGATCTTTTCCTGAGACCTCTACTAAGATCATGGGCGAAGCATAATCAGATTGTCCGACTTCCATGACTCCTAACTCAAGCAACCACCTAATTTTCTCTTTTAGGATGTCGGTTTGTCTCACCGACATTCGGTAAGGCCTGACTCTAATCGGAGTCTCATCCAACAATTTAATATCCATTTCGACCAAAAACATACAGCCGGGATCGGACAAAAACACCGCTCCATACTTCCCTATAACTTCCTGGAATTTTCCCATTTCTTCTGCTGAAGCTTTTTCTTCTAGCTTACTATCTCCAACTATTTTCCAAAAATCTACCTGAGTTGGATCAGCCAAGGGATAAGGAAGCCAAGGATATCCAGTTTCTCCCTCAATATCTTTCATGCCCTCCTCCATCACAAGATTCACAAACTCAGGGTGCTGATGATAAGGTTTTGTCAAATTTACATGATAAATGGTGTTTGTCACTGCTACACTTACCAGGAATCTCTACCATATAATTGGTTTCAGAAATCACACTAGTTACTTTACCTGGCTCTATCCAGTTTACAGCCATTTTGTATGGTTTAGATGTGGCTAAAACAAGCACGAGATCTCCGACCTTAAAGCTTCTCGTAACAGCGTTGCGATCATACCAGAGTTTCCTTTTACTCTGACACTCTTTCATCCTCTCTACAGCCAGCTCCTGACACTTCTTTAATCTGTTTTATTAAGTCTAGAACATACTCGACCACAGTGGGGTCTGAACTTTCTTCCTCTAGCCAGTTTTCATACACAATCATTTGAGGCATTCTCAAATTTTTTTCATGTACTAACTTGCAGGAACTAAAACCTGTGCTCTCATGGCTAACAGTTCTGAGGGTGAACAAAGCACATGGCAAACATTCTTTCCCGCTTTCCAAGCACAAAGCCTTCAATACCCTTTTCAAGATGGAATGCAACCTTTCAACAGAATTGCTTTGAGGGTGACGCACAAAAGAATGATATACCTTAATTCCGAACTTGCTAAAAAACTCAGATGTAAGTTCATTGGTAAACAATCTACCCAAATTACACTGAATTTCCTTAGGGTAACCTGATCTAGAAAAGATTTGTATTAAGGCTTGAATCACACTTTTAGAGCTTAACTTCTGTACAGGAATGGCATCTGGATATTTAGAAGAAACATAAATAGACGTAATTAAGTATTTATTTTCACATGAACTAGGGATCAGAGGACCTACTGCATCAATATTTAATCTGCTATACACTTCTGATAATGGCTACAATCTTCATTGGGGATTTTTTTTTATCCCTATTGTGACCTACACGCTGACAAATATCGCACATCCTCACAAATTCAATTTCTTGGTAACAATTAGGCCAGAAATAGTGTGTCAAAACTCTATCCTTGGTTTTTGTTACCCCTAAATGACCAGAGATTTCCTTGTGATATAACTTCAAGATCCTTTCCTAAAAACGAGAGGCACACACAGCTGAAGCTTATCTTCCCCTTTTTTAGAGCCTGCCACTCTGAATAGTCTTTCCTTGACAATTATAAACTTTTTTCATTTTCACTTTCCCCTTTCTTCCACAGGGCCGCTAAACTAGCGCAAGTTTTTTAAGCTTCTGAGAATTCTGCTGGGGAAACATCTGCAAGGATAGACTTTTCTTCTAAACTGCCTTTCCTCCGAATGCTCATTATTCATGACCCTTTCATTTTCTACCTCTTTCTCTTCTTCCGATCTGGAATCTAAGTCTTCTGCACTCACTCTCTCCAAAATCCTGTGTGCATGCCCCTGACTACGAGTCTCCACAACATTCAAGAGAATCGGTCATTCCCTAATTTTCTCCATCAACTGTGCAGTTTTATTTCCTAACAAATAATACTCTTTATCTAACTCTATCTGAGTAACCGCTGCCTTTATGGTGACCACACCAGAATCACCTTCAATGGTGACTTTCGCCAAAGGTAAACATTTACATTCTGTGTCCAACAGCTGTTTCACCTATACAGTTTCCAGTAATAAGTCTCTAGTATTAATCCAAGTACTACTACACAGATCTATTCTAGCTCCAGTATCTCTCAGATATTCTCTCTCTATCCCATTATAATTACTGCTTTCTTGAAGTACGGCTAAAAACATTTTCCTAAACTCTCCGTTCCTAGATTATTCACCAGATTAGCCTTATTCCTTTCCAGTGATGGACAGTTAGGTCGGATATGTCCGTCCTTTCCACATTGGTAACACCTTTTTTTCCACTGTTTCTCGAAACCTGCTTCATTGAAAGCTTGCTTTTTTTTTTTTCTCTCTATTCTAGCTTCCTCCTATATCTTCGCAAAGCCTTATACCTGTTGTATTTCTCTGCCAAAATAGAAGC